TCCGTCCGAAAAACTTCCCTACGGAAGACAACTCCAGAACTTTAACGGCTAGCGAAATACCAAATGACTCTAGAACTATCACTGTCCACACCGATCATGAAAATCCTATACTTGAAGTCCCAATTTCGGATGAACCCTTGAATAAATTTACTAGACAGTTGATATTAAATGTAGTAGGCGACATAAAGGCTAGGCCTGTGGTAACGAAGCCATTTGAGACTCATACACGTACCACCGTCCAAATTTCCGAGTCAAATCTTGAGCAGGACGTTATAAATGCTATTAAAGAATACGTTCACCTGAAAATTAAGACAGGCTTACTAATAAATCCTCATTCAGCGATGTACAGTATTATACCAATTATACAGAGCACCTTTAAAAGCTCTTCACTCAATCTTATTTTAACAAAAACTGAATTGGAAAACGTTAGGGAATATCTTAGGCAGCAAGAAATTATTCATAAATACCACGAAGGTAAAACCAACCATAGAGGTATTAATGAATGTTTCTTATCATTATCCCATAGATACTATTGGCCGAAAATGAGGGAACACGTAACTAAATTTATTAATGAGTGCACAATATGTGGTCAAGCTAAGTACGACCGAAATCCGATTAAACAAAAATTCCAAATTGTACCACCAGCCTCCAAACCCTTTGAGTTAGTTCATATGGATTTATTAACTATTCAAGGCGAGAAATTCCTGACAATAGTAGACTCATTCTCAAAATACGCCCAAGCATATTATTTAAGAGACGCGACCGCTGTAAGTGTAGTACAAGCTTTACTCATGTTTTGCACCCACCATGGAATACCTATTACCGTAGTTACTGATAACGGCCCTGAATTTACTAACCAGCTAATGGCAGAATTTGTTCGCCTCCACAAAATTCAGCATCACAGAATAGCTCCGCACACCCCCAACGAAAACGGAATTGTCGAACGTTTTCACGCAACCATTTTAGAACATCTCCGAATATTAAAGATAAAACATAAAAGCGAGTCAGTAATAAACCTTATGCCGTATGCCTTATTAGGGTATAACCATAGCATACATAGTTTTACAAAATGCAAGCCAATAGAAGTAATTACCGGACATTTTGACCCACGAAATCCTTTCGACATAGACCTCTCGGTTCACCTACTTCAACAGTACATGACAAATCACAAGGACAAGATGACCATAACATATAATTCCATCCATAACCTTTGTAATGAAACGCGAAAAGACTTGACCGAAATAAGAAATCAGAATCGAGAACCGGAACTTGAATACTCACCAGAGCAACAAATTTACATTAAAAACCCATTTGCATCCCGTCAAAAATTAGCTCCTCGATTTTCACACGATACAGTTATGGCAGACCTCCCAATCCATATTTACACCAAGAAAAAACGTGGTCCCGTAGCCAAATCCCGTCTTAAAAGAGTTCCTAAAACGAACCGATTGTTGCAGGACTCTCCTGATACTCCTTCTCCTACTGGGACCGGCTCTTATGCAAGAAATAATACTGGAAAACCTTGATGATGGCCCCGGCATACTACCGTTTAAGTTAGGCCCTACTCGAATCCTATCCCACTATCATTCTTTTTTGCAATATGTTAACCTTCAGGAACTCCAAGATAAAATAAATTCTGTCCAAATCCAATTAAGTAACATAAGCCCTAACTTAAATAATATTACCGACTCTCTATTTCAACCTCATTTGGAATATCTAAAAAATAAGCTTGAAAGTGTCTCTTTACAATTAAAATCGTTTAAGGCAAACCGTGAGAAAAGAGGTCTTGTAGACGGTCTTGGCTCTATTATTAAAAGTATTACAGGCAATTTAGATCACACAGACGCGATTCATTTCAATTACGCCATTAATTCCCTACGTGAAGACGAAAATAAGTTGTCATTAGAATTTAATAAGCACATTAGCTTAACTAAAGATTTAACAACTCAATACTCCAGAATTATAGAAAGTATTGTGGAAAACCAAAATAAAATGGAGATATTAATAAGTAATATAAATCAATCGGAAGCCACTAGAAACTACGACTTAGTTAAATATGCTCATTTTGGGCAAGTACTTATGATACTTAGCGACAACGTAGATTTGATTTCCCAAGAATTAATTAAGTTACAAATAATTTAGCCTTTATAAAAGTTAGTACTTTACACCATTCTATATTAAGTTTAGAGTCTATTCGAGACATGATTAATAAAATAATTACTTTTTATGGTAGTCAAACGGTAGGAGACATAGATATAAGGGAGTATTATGATATAATTAGCATAGACTCATATTATGTAAGAAATGAAATAGTAATAGTTTACAAATTCCCGATTTTACTACCCTATATATATGATATGTACAAGTTATCTGTAGTCCCAAATATAAAGCACGAGATCCTTACACCACCTGTCCCGTTCCTTGCCATATATCAGAAAGATTTCAAGTACATAGAGGCAGAATGCCCGAAGACCAGTAAATGGTACATTTGCGAAGAAAAGCGGAGCCTGCAAAGGTATACATCCCAAGACTGCATCTATCAACTCATCACTACGCAACAGAAGAACGCAGCGTGTATCCCGATGGCAGTAACCTTAGATAAACCGGCTTATGAACAAATAGACGACAAGCACTACACCATCATATTTCCTTTACCTACAAAAGTTCATTTATCTTGCGGGCAAGATCTTTACCAAGTCCTACATGGCAGTTATCTCGCTGTTATCCCGCTAAACTGTCATATCGAGACACAGTTATTTACAACCTCAAATACTAAGGATCGAGTACGAGGTCAAGCTCTAAAAATAATCAGTCTATCCCAAGAAAAGAATTCTACTGCCCCATCGATCTCTACTTATAAATTGAATACTATTAATCTGGAACATCTTCACGCATTGAACACAAGGATATCTCATCAGCAACCAGTACATCTGAAAGCCGACAGCTATACCACACTACAATCCCGCTATACGTACTTATAATAAGCGCCAGCACGTTGATCCTTGGAATACTCTATAGAAGATATAAGGTATCTGAAAATCCTGAAACGAACATTGACAATCATCATCCAGAGCTGCAGAGGGTATATGCTGTTCCAAATATCGGTGGACCAGATACCAACAGACTCCCAGCTCCATTCATGACGAAGATCCTTCATAGTCGCTGTTCTTCGGGGGGAGGTGTTACGCAGCACTAGTATAAGGAATCTGCTGCGTTGCAACGGCATCGGACTCCAACGCGATGGCACGAGGCACCGACTCAGCACAATGCATTTGCGTCATAAATTCTTTACCTTATTTCGAAATTGTAATCGACCCTCATTCTGAATTCACACATCGAATTAGAGTCACCTTTCTTAGTTATAATTTTATTGTAATATTTTAAAGTAAAATAAATTATATTTTATAAGAATTGCTTTTTTTTGCAACCTCTGGCTGGAGCCCACGTAATTATATCAATTACAAGAAAGAAGTTTGTTATTATTATGATTAGTCCACAACTTAATATTACAACAATTAATAAAATTATATAAGATATAAGCAAATGAAGAATTTACATATACGTTAAAAGGAACCTGGAATTCTGGGGCTGTTGAAAAATATACGATCAGGTGTGTCCTCATCTAGGCCACATTCACAGATGGATCTTTTATTCTTAACTAGCTGTGCCCGCGACTACGTCCGCGTGGAATTTAAAATAAAAAAAATCTAAAATAAAAGTAGCCTAAGTTACTTCTTATTACATCAGCTATCTGTCAGTCCCGTCCCGTCCAAATCGGTCCAGCCGTTTCAAAGATTAACCGGAACAAACAGACAGACAGACAGACAAAAATTGTACAAAATGTTATTTTGGTATATGTAGCGTGTATACATATATGCACTTATTAAAAAGCGGTTATTTCAATATTACACACAGACATTCCAATTTTATTGATCTATATAGATTAGATTCATATTTGTCTGTATAATATTATTCATATTGTTTGTCAACTGACACTCCAATTTGACTTTTAAGATTTTTTGAATTAATTGTTAGTAAAAATAAGGACATACGGAGTTTTGAAGTCTATTACAATTTTTTTGATTATCTTTTATTTTTATGGGCTTTTACAAAACAACACCAACGCCATCGTAACGTATACAAGGAATTAATGTTTTTGTTACTTGAACAAGGCTGCAAATGGCCTTTAAAGGGACTGCCCCTTGCAGCTTTGCAAGGCTTCATCATAACATCGGCGGACAACCCCCTAAGTAATCCAAGTTAATTGCTTAAACTTAACCTGCTTTCTTGTATAAAATGAAAATCCCGCATCAATACGATTCCTCCCGTTGTGGTGTACATGATTACATACCATATATTATACAGCACTCTGAATATCTAGCACTAGACCAACGCAATGTGATCACCTGTGATCTCATACACACATTAAGTGACTTTGCTGCTGTTATTAGCTCCACGTTTTTAGCCTCAGTTGACGATAGTGCGTTGTTTCCGAACTCGAAAGCCATTGCTCCACAATCTAACTTATGGTTAATTCGCGATCAATTAGACATTTAGCAAATGCCGCATCAACTAGACGTTTTAATAATTCCTGTAAAATAATGATTAGTTCAACGTTCTCTTAAGGTTTAAGGTATTGTGAAGTTCTCTTTCGTGTGGTCCTGTATCTTTTACTAAAGAAAGTATTAAACTAGCAAGAGCTTGTTGTAAATGAAATGGTGGACCGGGTTTTTATCGCCCAAACACATTAAAGATTCTATTAGATTTTTAAAAGTATTAATTTATAAAGTTTTTAGTTAGTTATTTTTTTTTAGTTATTTAGTTATTTATTTAGTTTTTTAGTTAGTTATTTATTAGATTTTTTAAAATATTAATGTATTAAGTTGCGATCATTTATAGTTCATCGTTCATCAGATTTGTGCTCTCACGTTATAGACAAATAAAAACTTACAACTGACTGGTCGTAACAATATGCACATAACGAAAATAACGACAAGGTAATGGCAGTGGTGGGTAAAAGGTCACGCGACTTTGGAATCTGTCGACGTAAACACGATAGTGAAATTGAGGACGTAATTACGCGGGAATAAAACTATGACTTACCGCAGAAAGTGTCTGAACTCGTGTCTTGCCTGATACCTGAGCTTCGTAGTACCTTTATTACTATTTTAATTTACAACCGACTTCCGAAAAGTAGGAAGTTCTCAATTCATTTTTTTTGTAACCTCAGAACTTTTGAGTGAACAGACTTTGATGATTTTATTTGAAAGATGATTCCGATGCTTCCCATGTGGTCCCATATTAATTTCATTGGCATTGGTTAAATCTTGGGTTCCGCAGATACCTAGGGAACTCCTGAAAACCAATTATATTTTATAATTCAGATTCAGAACGGGATGTTTGAAGTCGGTTTTGCTTTTTGTTAATAAAAATTTTTACTTGTTATAAACGTACGACATTCCAATAACTAAAAATGTAATCCCCCGTGCCGTAACTCATGACGCATTTTCTTTAAATAACATGAAATATAGGTAAATGTCAAAAAGTTTTAATTAGTTGCCAGGTATTTTCGTAGCGGAAAATTCTTACACTTTTATTCGCCTCACAACCAAAAATCCGTACCGTGCGATTAGGAACTTCTTCGTTCCAAAAACATTATTGTTAAGTATTTTGCTGGCGAAAGAATAAAAAGAAAAAAAAAATTTACAGTACCCTATTATTATTTAGTAGTATTTAATTTATCTTCCTCAGGAATAGCCGCCATGCTGCTAAGCGGAGGCCGCACCGCACATCCGGTACTGAAATCACCATTAAATCTGGCTTGAGAAGCACGCTCATTTGAGCAGCAGTACTTTAGTAGAGCCCTGATGGCGATCGCCTTTAATTCAATTTACTCAAGCAACCAGAGTTCTACTTATCACGCGCTCGGCGGTGAAGGAGTACAACATGAGGCAACCTGCATATATTCGACAATCACAAAACAAAAACAATAACAAAAAAATAAAATTCGAAAATATGTGAAGTCCGTCAATCCGCAGTGGACTATGCCCTCATACCCTCTTCACAGAGAAGGCCTACTTTGCCAATTTTTTTTTAGATATAACGGGCGTTATTGTGATTATACTGGCTGGTAGTGACTTCCACCGAACTCTTTAGGAGTGTGTACCCAGATTTACAGTATAATATGCATGAAGACTAATGGCTTTGTCAATGAAAATGACCTTGTAAATAAAATAAATGCTGATAAATTGAGTGGTGTAGCGGGGGTCGTAATAGAGTATTTGTGAATAGTTGTATGGCTCTTTCATGGGCACAGAACAAAGGACCTCATACCCCGTCGAGTTATCCAACTCCCTAGAATTATCAGGTGTGCCCGCCCACATAACTTACAGTTGAAAGTAGGAGTCCCCATCATGCTTATGGGAAATATAGGTGCTCCTCGCTTATGTAACGGGACGAAGCGTCGTGTCGTACCACTTGGGCGCAACATAATTGCTTCCATAATTAAGTAAATTTAATTACATAATTTTATTATTAAATATATTTGGTTCATCTGATTTTAAGTGATATCCGTCGCTCATTGATATTTGCAACCCCCGTAGGGTTACAGATATGTTGCCACCTTTGACGACCCGAATGGCGTAGTCGGTAGTATAATTTGTATTTATTTACAAAAGAAAAGTATGTTTAGGTATGTCTATCAGTTTTCTAGTACCCATAGTACAAGCATTGCTTAGTTTGGGACTAGAGAACGTTGTGTAAAAAGAATGTGTCCTAAAATATTTATTTATTATTTATTTTTATAAAAATGGTCCCGGCTACCGCACTCACCATACGAAACGCAACCTTTGATTTATTTTGTTTGTTTTTCGTATTGTGGATGAAATATTGTATGTAGGCGACTATTCCTTGTAAATGTTTTAAATTGCATTGTTTATTTAATAAATTTAAATAATTGTCAACTCCATATTTTTGTTAGGAATGTTGGCTGTAAAATGGCAGACGACTCCAGGTTAGTAAGACTTTGTGTTACTAGTAGGAATGATAGGCCATCTACTTTGTCGTTACATTTGTTTAATTTGAACTGATGTTGATTCATTGATTTTCACTCGACACAAGTTTTACATTTCAATTTCTTCCTCCTCTCCAGATCAATAAGACGGTGTTATTTGTCCGAGTATCCAATTCAATCAATCTCTTAAGAAATAAAAAAAAAAACAAAATCAAATAATTTATTCATCGAAATAAGAAATATACATTTCATCTAACGATATAAAAATTTTAGCAGCCTACTACTTTGATATAGCAAACAAAAAAAGAATTTAAACGATAGAGAACTATAGACAAATATCACTAAAGAATTAATCAACGAGCAGATTTTGATAGTCACCATATAGTTTTCGAGAAAAAAATAACATAACAGTCTTGTCCACACTTAAAAAATGAAAAACATTGCACAAAACTCCATGACGAAACAAAAAATTAAAAAGTACTGAACGATTTGATTCTGATTGGAATAACATTTTATAACAAGAATGAGTCTTTAATTGCAATATTGTATATACATATTTGATCGCTATAAATATAAATGAGCGTTTGGTTATAAATTTTTTAAACATATTTATTATTTTATAAAATTTATAATTTTAGTGTCAAATTTACATCGGAAATAAACAATCACCAGCGGTTACAACAACCTGAAGCGCAAGTCAAGTGCGGTAACGAATCAGCAAACATTTGAAACTAAACGCATTAAAATATCTCAAACATCATCGATCAAATGTTTCCACTGTGAGAAAATTGGACGCAGACTGGCTGATTGCCTACATAGACAGGAAGCAAAAGGGAAAACGAAAAATACACAACATATTGAAGCCCAAGGGCGGATCCAGAGGGAAGGTCATGGGGGTCATGGATCCCTGGTTCCAGGACCTAGGTGGACCACTAATTAAAATTGTTAAATATAATGTTTTTATATATTTTTGCCACATTATAGATTTTATGTAAGTACTTTCAATCATCATCATCATCATATCAGCCGTAGGACGTCCACTGCTGAACATAGGCCTCCCCCATTGACTTCCACTTCGACCGGTCGTTAGCGGCCTGCACCCAACGCGTCCCTGCGATCTTGGCTAGGTCGTCCGTCCACCTTGTGGGAGGCCTTCCTACGCTGCGTTTGCCGTCACGTGGTCTCCACTCGAGAACCTTTTTGCCCCAACGGCCATCGATTCTTCGAGCTATGTGCCCTGCCCACTGCCACTTCAGCCTGCTGACTCGCTCTGCTATGTCGGTAACTCTAGTTCTTCTACGGATAGTAGTAATACTTTCAATATTTAATTAAATTAATATAATATTTTTAAACGACTTCAAAAGGAGGAGTTAGTATTTTTTTTTTCAATGCATGTACACCGATTACGTTGAGATTTATGATCCGATTTACGTGATTCCTCTTTAGTTTGATGCAGAATAGTTGCCATTTGGCCCCATAAAATGTTAGCATAGTTTGGCCAAGTAGTTTTCATTTTATGAACATTTTTACAATATTTTAATGTTAAATCATCAAATCAAATCTTACAAATTAAATTTGATCTACTTCCCGGTTACCGGTTGAGCTGAAATTTTGTATACGTGTATAAATCGCGAGACAATGAAATATTTTTATGACGTGCCGATCTGATGATGGAGCTGGAAGAAGGCCAAAGAAACTTCGAAATGAGACGACCGAGCCTCATCGCGTTTGGGTACATTTGAATCGTATTGACGAGTAGTTTGTCTTTCATTGGTAACCAGGATCTGATGATGGAGCTCCATCTTCAGCCGTCCATGGACAAATGCATAGAGTTGCAGATGCGTTTTCTCCTTATAATAAAGTGGGCTCTGGCTAACTAGCCGGAGCCGAATGCGAGCGAATAATCGATCTAGCTAGGTTTAATTTTTAGGCTATGCGTAGCCAGGGTATGATCCCTACTAGCTACGCATAGCCCAGCCATATGAATGCAGAGCTTCAATGTTTTGGTTTATCAGATTTGATTGTGTCTCTTGTGAAGTATCGCGACAGTCGAGTCAGTTGTGCTTTGAGTTTTCCGAAACTTAATCGTGATATTGAAAAGATTGAAAAAAAAGTGCTAATTATTTCAATAAAATTGAAAATTAAACAAACAGATATATTCCTAGTTAGGTCAGGAGTGACCGAGCTATGTGATACTGTGTTATGAATATTGTTTCAGAGTAACACACAGGAACATGTCTCCCGAAGGATGGCCGCGTTGGAAGACTAATAAATGATTTGACAACGAGGCGCAAGCGTTATGACGTTAACGCTTCGACAGAGTCTCGATTGAAGTTCGGGCGAGGGGAGTAGGGCCTCTGGCCGTCGCACGGACAACTAGTCACGGAAGTGTCTTACGACTCGTTATGATCGTTGTGAGAGACGTTTGAGGTTTTGGGAAAGTACAAAAATAAAATTTCCGAATTTCATGATTATATTCATATATTTACTTCCAAATTGAATTGAAACAAAATAAAGTTACAACTTATTCTTAATAAATTATATTTAATGTTAATACAAAAATAAATTATAATAAGCTGAACGAAACAATAAATATCGACGTAGTAATATAAAATATATAATAATAAAATAATGACTAGCAATCCTACCTCACAACCCCTTAGCATCCATCTCCTCTTATAGCCCACGCTAATCAACACAGGAACAAAGACAATACAAAAACACGTCACAAGTCGATGTCGAAGCATTTGATGTGAATGCGACCAAAACATACAAGATCTTACACAACCACTACGTAGAAAGCTGTCGAGATGACGCTAGTATAATATCAAGAATGACGCACTGAGCCCTAGCCAGAGTATGTTTGTTACACGTGTTCGTGTGCTTACAAACACCTGCTCCCTGTCCCACAAGAACTCGACGGCAAACTTGTGCCGATCGCTGCGGGCAGAGGCGCGTGTCGTCCACGCGTGAACCCAAAGGTGCACCCGCTCACCAACCGCACTGCTACGACCCAATTGTACGTAGGGCCAGGGGACCCTATATCGCCCAGCAGTCATGTGCCGACTCACCCCATCAATCTAGCAGCATGAAACAGTCCACTGGTCAATGCCAACTCGGAACCAAATCGCGAGACCTCATAATGTTGGTCTATGCGACTTATAACTCAAACCTCCAGCGCACTGACTACGTAGTAAGCTACTGAGATGCTACTGGAACGATGTCAACAATGACGCACTATGACTTAACAAGAGTGTGCTTGAGCACCTGCTGTTCATGTGCTTACAAACACCTACACACCTACACTTGCTACGGGCAGGGGAGCACAATGTCCACGAAATCACCCACCCGAAGGGGTGACTCGCTCGCCAAAGGCACTGCTTTGTCTTAGATTACGTAGGACATATCCCAATAAAACATCTCCTCTCCAATTTCTCACTCGAACCGACATGCGACGCTTCCAACTCAGGTGCATACATTAATCAACAAAGTAACAAAATTTTGATAGAGAACTTGTGCACTGTTATTGTCTTTGGTGTTTCGATGTTTGAATTTTAATAACACGCCGAAAATGTCTAAGACGGATTTATAGTTGACCAATTTATTGCGATGATACCGACTGCACACTTCTCGTTTAAAATTTAAAATCATATTAAGGTAATAATATGCAAAAAAAATCACATAAATAAATCCAATCGTTTTCGCTGGTTATTAAATTAACATAATAGTAGAATTAAAGAGTAAATAGTGTGCTACAATGACTACGACACATTCTAACAATCATTGCTGTTTAATTTATGCGGTGCGCCTAGCACCTGAAAACGCCTTGACGTTTCTTGCGTGGAACGACCTGGAACAAAGAAATTGACAGTTTTACGGATCAGGGTAAAAGTGGCGATTCAGCTTTTCAATGGCCTTGCATATTAAATGTTTATTAAGAGCGAGATCATCTGAATCATGGCCTTGTATCTATAATAGCAACTGCAAATGCAATGATGGTAAGGCGCTCGGACTCATTAACGAACCGAAAGTGTATAAAATATACCTGCATTGTATTGAAGAGAACAGTGCAGGCCTCCACGCCGTCCAACTGGCACGGATCTGGGCCAGCGACCTCCATGTTGGTTGCCATCGCCATCGGATTCAGTGTCGGCGTTGGCGTCGGCGTCGGCATCTGCATCGGCGCCGGCGTCGGCGTCGGCATCATAGGCTGCGGCTCCGCGTTCTTCCCCCAACAGTAACGGCCCTGGATCGGCACCGGCATCTTGGCGGCTGGCTCTCTCGACGGATGCAATCTGCAAAATACTTCACATGTTATACATACCAAGAATTTCTTTCCACTAATAGAAATTTTAAATAAATAACGACGAATCTATTGCATTCTGGTGGATTGAGGGAACTATTCCCAAAGACTGATCGATTCGAAAAATTGTCACGCAAAAACCACGCCCTTTTGTGAAAGCACAGGCACTTTTCTAACAAGAAATTTTGGATAATAGAGCAAATAACGCTGGTATTTTGCAAATAATGATAATTTCAACGAGTGTCAAGCTTAGTTTAATATAATCCCACTAGTATGCAACAAATTATTTGAAATAAAAATAAAAAAAAAACAATACTTTATTATAAAACAGCTTTTTTCGCAGGAACCACTAATTATATTAATGGAAGTTAAAGCAAAAATTTTACTATGCTTTTCACGTTTTAACTTACCAATTCACAAAGAAGAAGCACCAGCGGAGATACAGGAGCAGAGAGACACGTCCAGCCCGCAACCGCTAATCGTCCAAAGAGACGCCCAGAATCAATATACCTATCTAGCATGTACATAGCTCCCGGGCCCAGACACGATCAATACCTGATTCTGGTAGGGCACAGAGGTTAAAAAGTTGCCAGTCGTCAAAACTGAAACTAATCTTTTTAAGATTTAAATATTTTATACTCGTATTACCTTCGTAATTACTGATAATTAAGGTGTCTTTAAATGTATGTTTTATTTATAACTTTATATTAAATGCCTATTTAAATTCGTATTACTTGTGTCTTCTTTGAACTAAATAAAAGGTATATAATATTAATTATAAATTAATTTACAATATTTCAGAATTAGTATTGTATGTTATGATAATCATATTGTAAATTAATTTATAATTAATATTATAATTTTAATTTTTCTGTCCGTCTGTATTTGTCATTTTTTAATACATGAACCTGCATTTGTTGATTAAAACTTGTAACAGAAATTAAAACTTTTTGTAGAGACATTGAAGTCTAATTTCGAGATCACAACAATGGGAAAGTGGATTTAATGTTCCTAGGAAAGATGATAAAATGAAACTATTTTGTTAATTATACCTATAGCCCTGATACCCACTGTACAGAGGAGGCCTTTGCCCAGCAGTGGCACGTATAGGCTGATACTGATGTAACTGATCGTAGTCTCTACATGGAAGATATTTGAGAAAAACTATTATTGGGGGTCCTTTATCAACGCAATAGAACCCTAAACAATAAATGTGAATAAAAAAGGTCTGTTAATCTGTTTGGTTATGCGTTTGTGCGCGATAATCTCAGAAACGGCTAAACCGATTTGGGTGTAACTTTCACTAATGTATTGTAGTAAGGTTCACTTAATATTTAGTGTTAGTTTTATTTAAACCGGTTCATAAATAAATAGTTATATCAACTTAAAGAACCACATTGAAGATTTGTGTGATAAAATGCTACTATAAATTACGGTTGAATTGCTATATATTATTATGGTCTGTAAAATGATAATGATTGTAGGCTTTTATAAAGTTAAAAAAAACCGGTCAAGTGCGAGTCGGACTTCCGCACGAAGGGTTCCGTACTACGTACGTATCTATAAAAACGGCAAGAAAAATCAAGTCAGTTGTATCGAAGCCCCATTTAAATATTTTTCTATTCTGTTTTTTGAGTATTTGTTCTTAAAGCGGTAACAGAAATACATCATCTGTGAAAATTTCGTAAGCTTTCATTAGTAAGAAATTGTATTTGTGATTTTATTAAAATGAGTGCATTATAAATTGTGTATATACATATTTTTTTTAGGTTTAGGTTCACCTGATGTTAAGTGATTACCGCCGCCCATGACTGATACAACACCTGACAGGTTGCAGATGCGTTGACAACCTTTAAAATAAGTGGGCCCCGGATACCTCACTCACCAGACGAAACGTAAAAGTAGTACTGTTTCTGACGAGTTTGCCCATTCGTGCAACAGCCGAAGCTACTGCGTGTGTATACAGGGTGATTTTTAGACGCAGTACATACTGACATAATGCATATGAGCATTCCATAATTCAAAAAAAATATTAATATTTTATTTTACAAGAAATAACCAAAAAAATATCATTGTTTGTTTATCCTGTTAAGAGTGGTCACGCTACAGTCAAAAATCAAGATCAAAAACATTTTAATTCAAATAGACGCTTGCGCGCTCTTATGAATCGTCAAAGTTTTACATCAAAAATTATGTATACAGCGTGTCGTTACCATCGCGACAATAAATGAACACACGTCTAACGCTACTGCCAATAATCATTAAATAATATTAACGTTAAAAAAATCCATAATTAAGAAAAATATTTTTCAAACAAACTAATTAAGTAAAAAAGAAACAAAATTGTAACACCTATACAACTACAACTGACTGATTCATACATTCAGAGCCTCTCCTTCTAGCAGTATGTTTTGTCTCTTTTAAATTCATTCAACCCATTCATATGCTTTGTGAACTTTACGAAAGGGTGTTCTAAAATTCTTTGTTTTGGAAAATGTAATAACTGTGTAAATATTGATGTTTAAAGAATGTAAATGTTTAATACAATTTTAAAAAGTTATCCTTATGTGTGTTCATTTATTGTCGTGATTGTAAAGACACGCTGTATAGGTTCGTAAAATACCACTGGTTCGGAAAGCAGTTTCTGTTGAGAAGAGACCGGCAAGAAACTCAACAGTTGCTCTTTTTCAAAAGTTTCTGTAATATTTTATTTCTTTCGTTATTCTTTCTTATATTTTTTTCGGCAGACTTAATATCGACTGTGGAATTTTATTACACATGTGCACACTTTCCTCCATGAACGACGTATTTACTTTTTGTAGACGAAACAATGGCGTAGTTATTTTGTCCATATTTCTAGTGTTTATTCTATGTCTGTCACTATTATATAGGTAATAATAAAGGTTATGACGTATACACAAAATATTACAATAAATTTATTGAGAAGCAACAGTGAGTATATTAACCTCTTTAAAAAGATCTCTGAGTGAATTCCGGGACTCCGATATTGTAGATTGCTCGGACAGCTCTTTTTTAAGAATAAATATAGAATTTATATCTGATGCACTACCCCACAACAAAATGCTGTCTGCTGGTGCAAAAGTCTCTTGGTATAGGCATGAAGTATAACTAAAGGAAAGCCACTGAGACGAGATAATTTCAGACATTGAACTCACATCGACACAGATGCGATATCAAGAAAACGAACATCAACGGTACGGTGAGATCAGCGGCTGGATTATAGTATTGAGACAGTACGGCAGGAATTTCTTATAGGTTGTCAATGTTTTAAAAAATATAAATATTTGAAGAAAAAAACAGGTCACAAGTACGTACCCTATTCAGATTTAGAATCAAATTCTGCATATGCTCTATTAATATGTCCGTAGTCTATAAAATCAACCTATATATCTTTAATGGATTTATGTTTATTTTTAATACCTAGTATTCAAGTAGTTATTGAGCTAGAAGTATGATCGACAGGTAGACCAAAAGCTCGCAAATGCAAATGCAGACATAACGGAATATCGACGTCGAAAAACGTAATGTGTACTTTTACTGTAGGTTCTTGTAATTTTATTCATTGGATACACAACAACTGATACGAAGTCGGGTGATTAGAGGGTTACAACAGAAATAAAAATTATTATATCGTATATATATTATATCGTATATATCGTATATATATTATTATATGTATCGTATCAAACAAAAGTTTAAGGGGCATTAATAAATACATTAACCACTTTGACTAAAATGCCAGTTGCGTCCATCCTGTTTACATTTTCATGATAAGGGACAATATTTAAGGTCACAAAATAATCGTTATATTTTTTGATACTGCCTACCTATTTTTAAATAAAATAAATCTCTCACTCATTTGTAAAAAAATAAAACTACTACTCTATCGCTAACAACTTTATTATCCTCGTCATTTCGTAAACACATTTAAGATTTTGAAGTTTACATTATGATCAGATAAAAAGTGTTCCATTATATTAAGACGCTACATTGCGCTTACAATTAAATCGTTATAAGCGCTTATAACTTAAAGGTATCTTATATATAAAGGTAGGACGCGAGTGAAGAATGCCACTTAGTAGTTATCGTGCAGTTCCATATTCTGTACCGGTACCGGTACCAGTTCAGAATACGGCTCCAGATTTACTACTTACCGATTTATATTAATTTTAATTCCAAAAACATTGAAAAATAATACCAAATATTTTAAAACCAAACGCAAGAAATGCAATAAAGAAAACACCATATGTTTGCACATCGCATACCTATGTGCAGATTATCGAGCTTACTCCTGTTTCAATGAGACGGAAAAGAAAACAGCCTATGTCAGCCCGCCACATACGTATATGCAGATTATCGAGCTTACTCCTGTTTCAAAATGACGGAAAAGAAAACAGCCTATGTCAGCCCGCCGCATACGTATATGCAGATTATCGAGCTTACTCCTGTTTCAAGATGACGGAAAAGAAAACAGCCTATGTCAGCCCGGCGCATACGTATATGCAGATTATCGAGCTTACTCCTGTTTCAAGATGACGGAAAAGAAAACAGCCTATGTCAGCCCGCCGCATACGTATATGCAGATTATCGAGCTTACTCCTGTTTCAAGATGACGGAAAAGAAAACAGCCTATGTCAGCCCGCCGCATACGTATATGCAGATTATCGAGCTTACTCCTGTTTCAAGATGACGGAAAAGAAAACAGCCTATGTAAGCCCGCCGCATACATATATGCAGATTATCGAGCTTACTCCTATTTCAAGATGACGGAAAAGAAAACAGCCTATGTCAGCCCGCCGCATACGTATATAAAGATTATCGAGTTTACTCCTGTTTCAAGATGACGGAAAAGAAAACAAGCCTATGTCAGCCCGCCGCATACGTATATGCAGATTATCGGGCTTACTCCTGTTTCAAGATGACGGAAAAGAAAACAGCCTATGTCAGCCCGCCGCATACGTATATGCAGATTATCGAGCTTACTCCTGTTTCAAGATGACGGAAAAGAAAACAAGCCTATGTCAACCCGCCGCATACGTATATGCAGATTATCGAGCTTACTCCTTTTTCGATGTGATGGAAAAGAAAACACCCTATGTCAGCCCGCCGCATACGTACATGCAGATTATCGAGCTTACTCCTTTTTCGATGTGATGGAAAAGAAAACACCCTATGTCCAACCGCCGCATACGTATATGCAGATTATCGAGCTTACTCCTGTTTCAAGATGACGGAGAAGAAAACAAGCCTATGTCAGCCCGCCGCATACGTATATGCAGATTATCGAGCCCACTGCTTTTTCGATGTGATGGAAAAGAAAATAGCATATGTAAGCCCGCCGCATACGTATATGCAGATTATCGAGCTTACTCCTGTTTCAAGATGACGGAAAAGGAAACAAGCCTATGTCAGCCCGCCGCATACGTATATGCAGATTATCGAGATTACTCCTTTGTCGATGTGATGGAAAAGAAAACATTCTGTGTGCCCGCTGCATATCAATATGCAGATCATGGAACTTACTCCTATGTATAGAGAACGACGGACGTGTGGTGCGATGTTCGGCGCCAATATAGAAATGACGAGGTAGAGATGTCGCACGGTGGTGGCTTGGAAAGAATCAGATGCTAGGGCGTCAGCAGTAGCCTGTCGGCGATGCTATCAAGAGTGACGCATAAAGCCATGCATGAGGGTGCAGGTAACGCTATTCGGTTTCGCACTCAACACCCTCACCCTCACCTGGGAGCACGGGCGCACCACCGCTTTACTCTCACGGCGGCACCGCTCGCCAGGAAGGGGGCTCGATGTCCACGGGGAACCGCACGAGGCAGGATTCCGGATTTCGCTCACCAACGGCACTACATTAGCTTACCAATGCGTAGGTCCAGAGGTCCCTTTACATCCCAGCAGTCGTCCGCCATCGAAGAGAGCCACACCCAACCAGCACCAAAAAGTAGCGTTCCTATAAACCCATACGATACCAACTCGAGCCCGCCGCAGCGCAAGCGATTCGCGTAACGCTTGCGGTGCACCGTTCTCAAAACGTTCCACGCTCCCCGGATGATGTCAGAGTGCTATCGCTAGCGACGCACGTAGGCCCGCAAGGGAGCGTCCGTTACGCTTTTAAACAGGCTCGCGGACACTCCCACCCCGACTCGCAAGAACAAGACGTCGTTTTCCCTCCGCGACAACGCCGCATGCATATAATCGGGGGCGCACGACGTCAAGGGCTGGCTGCACGTTGAAAACGTCACAGAGGCCCGTTCGCCGCCGGCGCTGCGGCCCACCGTGTGCGTAGGGCTCGAGTTCCCTTTACACACCGACAGCCATCCCCAGCGAAAAACACACCAATTCCAGCATCAAGAGATGCATTACTGTTGAGCCCATTCAAAAATACATTCTCGGGCCGACACGTCGCGAGCAGTTCACGCGGGCGCTCTCCGCTCGTGTCGTAGCCGGCATACCTCACGCCAAATCGGACGCCGCTGAAATGCTATCCGTACTATTAAACGTGACGCACTAAGACATGTAAGGGCGTGCCCGGAGACACACCCACCCCGGCGGACAAGAACTGACGTCAAGCCGTTTTATTATCGCGACTACGCCGCATGCCATCACCGAGGCCGCTCAATGTCCACGGGTGGCCGCGATGGTTTGGCCACAGCCGCTCACCAAAGGCGTTACAATGGCTTAAAAATGTGCGTAGGGCCAGAGGTCCCTTTACATGCCAACAGCTCCGTTACCTAACACCCAAAGCCCGAATCTTCCTCGCCGTGACCATGGCGTGCTAAAAATCTACCGTCTGTTCAAACGTCAAATCGTCTCTGTGAAAAAAAAAAAAAAAAAAAAAAAGACATGCGATCAAATCATAAAATGTCATAAACCAGACTCAGAACAAAAACTTCGTCAAAAGATAGAGATTCGTGTTCATGCATGCCTTGCCTCTTGCCGAATGTAGGAATGTAGGGAACGGGACGTCCCGAAACGGACAGTTATGATTTTGACATCAAAATTGTAAAGACAACAAATAATAACATGATTAAACATTCCCTAACATAATAATTTGGGTTATTTCTCATCCGATTTACATGTTGCTTAATGTAACTTAAATAAACATAACGGAATTAAACAAGTAGTCTGTCCTCTCGGATTATTGATATGGCTTCAGATAAATTGCGTATGATTAAATGCTGTCGGACAACTCTCTGCTCCATTGTGGAAAAGAACTCAACGCCCGGAAAAGGTATTTTGGAAGTTGTTTCGTTCTTTTTCCAATGATGACGTAACCGGGCACTAGACGCTGTTGGCTTAGCGATTCTGCAAGGAACGCCTCAGCTTGCTGTATTTGGGCGCGCGCCGGTGATTCCTCTGTGTAATTACCTGTAATAACAAACAAATCGTAGAACGTTTTGGGCGACCGCATATTTATTAGAAAATTTAATGTATTACCGATGAAGGCTAGAACTATAGCAGTAGAGTCGAAGTCGGGAAACAAAGTTGATCGTCGTCTCCACCCCAGAGCCTCAAACGTTTGACCGTTTGCTGATATCAAGAAGTTGTAGGGCAGGACTGAGGTGTTGGTCATCTGGAAAGATAAAGTATTTGAATAATGCTGTTCGATCGTTGATGATTTAAAAATAATTACAAAATCATCAGCACAGCACATTATTAAAACCTTTCGTAAATGGACTAATATTTATGACCCCCAGGAAGAGATTGAGAATATTTCGCTTCGCTTTTTAATTTACGACATAATAAAGAATCCATCGATCATAGGTGGGCTAGTGACTACAATCACTTAAATAACATAATTATGTCCGACCGTGGGTAAAATGATGGACTAAATTTAACTTAAATGCTGCCATCGATTTTCCCGGTTATTGTTTGAAAATGTTATTTTCATTTCGCTTTTTTTTGTTTCTCTTTTATTTTTGTTTATTATTTTTCCATTTATTTATTTTATTTCATATATTTAGATAATGTTCGCATGCGCCACGCGCCTTAGTATTCGCTATGGAGTTCACAAATTTTGCAAGCATTTAAAAAAATCGCCAAAGCAGACATTGCGTATAGCACTTTTAACAATTAAATATTTATTTATAAATTAAGTCTACTACTACTATTCGATGTAGTGCTATACATTGTATTTTAATATCAAATCCATAAAGCTGCATTATTTAAATAATTGTAGACGTGATAATCAATAATGTTTGATAAACATTTGATCAATACAGCCGCAAGTCCCGAAATTCATTTTACTTCATTTTTTATATAAAAAAACTCATTGATTCATTTAGAACTGTGAGAAGGCAAAAATAAACAACCGAAATTTTTGGAATAACTCAAACAGCGATCAATGTCCAAATGGGACTTTATTAATAAGAATAAGGGGAAGAAAATAAAATTTACTTAATTAACTAGAAGAACATCACATTCAATATAAAAAGAATGATGCTACTAAATTATGCCATTCGGGCTCTGCAATGGACCTGTCATAATTCAAGCAATCGTAGAAACATAATTACCCGCATCGTATCAAGCAGCTCCACGCAATTTTGCAAGCTGCTGCACTGGGCCGTGTTCGTTTCGACGACAATAACTTGTCTGCTGGTCATTGGTTGGGGCAGCAAATCTATGCGTTCGTTTGTGATCTTGTCCCATTGAGAACGAGTAACGAATCGCATTGCAGTTTCAATAGGGGGTAGAACGTTTTCTGCAATATTTTGCTACACATAAATACGTAATACAAAAGTGTTGGATGGACATATAAAAAAGAATGTCTTTTTTTTCCAAAAATATTTTTTATATTGAACTGTCTGTAAATAGTTTACACCTCAAAAAAGGAGTCGAAACGGTCAATTTTGGTGTTAAAATGGTAATAAATGTTAAATAAATCGATGAAAAATCAACAAAGAAATGAAATAATAACCTGATCTGCTCTGCACAACCAGCAGATATATTCCAATGATAACGCCAGACAACAGTATTACAAGGAGCAGGCTGACAACAACCGCTGTTTGTCGACGGTTCCCAACCTGGCCAGTTTGTATTGGGAAACGTTGCAGCAGCGGCGTTGCCTCAGAGGTCCGAGGTTCGTCTTCAGCGCGGTATGAGTTTGTGCGAGATTCATGATCTGCCAATATAATAATTATAAAATGAGGTGAAAAATACTTTTTTATTAATCTATATATTTATTTTTAAATTAATATTGATTCAACTATGGTTACGCAACAGCCTGTGCTGTCGCACGAATGGGCGGGATCGTCCGGGGATGTACCCCGACCACACAGAAGACCAGCTTGAAGTGGAAGTGTTACACCTCCGCGTTTCGTCTGGTGAGGTAACTGGATCCCACTTTATAAAAAGGTGGCAAAGCACCTGCCACCGTCTCATTTTTAGTTAGGATTTTTATAATCAACATGACAATTTATTGATTAACAATAAATTTATGTTTCAATTACATGTTATATACAACTTGTTACAACCGCGACAATAAATTAACACACATTTATATAGGATAACTTTTTAAAATTGTATTAAGCATTTACATTCTTTAAACATCAATATTTACCGAGTTATTAAATTTTACAAAACAAATATTTTTAGAAAACCGTTAAGTGTAAAACAGTAACGTTAGTTCATTTGTAAAGGTCACAAAGAATATGAATGGGTTGAATGAATTTAAGAGATAAAACATATTGTTAGGAGAGACTTGTAATGCAATGTTGTGGCAACGAATGAAACCCTCTCTTAATGTATAAATCAGTCAGTTGTAGTTGTCAGTTTTGTTTCTTTTTTAGTTAATTAGTTTGTTTGAAAAATATACTTTTTTAATTATGGCTCTTTTTAACGTTTTATATTTTTTTTATGATTATTGGCAAGTAGCGTTAGACGTGTGTTCATTTATTGTCGCGGTTGTAACAACACGCTGTATCAACAATATAATTATATATATACGATAATTCAGTCTTCAAACTACTTTCATTGAATTTTATTTATTTAAATATTAAAAAAATTGTACTACCATTAATTACTTGTATTTAATTTTCTATACAGTATTTTTATTTTTTTATAAACAGGTAACAAAGGGCGGTAATAGTGCACAAATGCATTCTCTACCAGTCAATCGTTTGATATGGTAGGTGCAGCATAAGCTATAAAATTTTAAATAAAGAGAAAAAATACATTAATAAAAAAAATTAGAAACACATAGTAACTAACATTTAAAATGATTTATGTAACTAGTGATATGAGTTTATAGGTACATAGTATGTAGTAAATTTACATTTAAAATCAGAATTAGCAATTTTATTGGTGCTGACACGGGCACAATAAATTCAAGGGTACTGAAAAGTAAACAAGCTTCCAGACACCAAGCTGCCACAGCTGCTCAATAATATATTGATAATACTATTGTATTAACACCACAAAAACTTCAAACAGGAAATTCTCAACAGAAATGCAACAGAACCAATTTGTAAACAGAAAGAAAAAACTGGTATTAAATCATTCCAACGTACAATAAATTGCTTGCAATTGAATTTCAACCATGTTGATAAAAAGTTATATTGTTATATCAAGTTTAAAACACTATATAATTTTATAATAAAAATCTACAGTACAATGTTATCTCATTGCAAAAAGCAAACTGACTGATTTTAAAATATGTAATTGTTTAAAAACTATAAAAGGCATATTGAGTTTCAAGTAACAGCACATTTTCCTATGTAATATGAGTTATCTGTTTTAACATACTGGCAAATGATCATCTGGATTTTAGAATTATATACATAGTATTAATCAAACATTCAACATTAACTATGGTATTTGATTATGAATTAGCTATCTATATTTTTCTGAAGATAGGGAAAATCAATTATGATTTTTTCTGGAATAAAAAGGACACAGTAACAGCTGTTTACCATCTTCCGCTGCCTCTTTCCGTCAGGTGGGAAAGTAGTCACAATATAGTTCTTAATATTTAATATTACAAACTTTTTAGTTCTTTTTGTTCTGGGCTACACATAGATTTGATGCAAAAAAATTTGGAGGAAATATATAAGGTTGAAAGCAGTAGTAGCTTTCCGCTATATGCATTTATAATATTTGATATGGTATAAATATTTTCAATATTATTTTCTTAAAAGAAAGATAAAGATTATTCAAACATTAATTTAATAACTTCTAAAATTATTTAAGTAACAGTCACAAATTAAAATTTTCATTAGTGCTGGCACATAAATTTGAATTAAGTTGCTTGAGTATATTGAATTAAAAGCACCCGGCTATAGAGCTATCACTATAATATCTGCAATATTACATTTATGTAATATGCTACATTTTTTGGAAGTTATAAATAACTTTTGTTAACATTTGTTGAGACAGTGTTCATGACAGACTCATTGTGAACTGATAGTGTCATTGGCTTGCTTAATGAATCATAAACATAGAAACTGTTAACTTGAGTATTCAGTAAGGAGTTTAGGTACTTTTCCATTTGCTGTGTGCATATTGCTTGCCAGATCAAGTAATATTTCAATAATTTCAATTTGATGATTGTGAAAGTAAAAAAGAATAAAAAGGAATTCAGTACTTTTAATGATAAAAAGTTAGATGGCTGCATGGTACAGTTCCCATGGTATGGACCCATTAGAGGTCATGGGTTATATTTCCACACGGGACAACTTGTGTGATCTAAAGATAGTTGCTTTGCATCTGGATATGTCCGTATGAAATTTTTGTTTGTAACATGTCTTCACAACAAAGGATAACATTATCCTAAAGTAAGGGCAATGTTTTATATAAAAACAAGTAATAATTTTTGTAAATAAAGAAATCTAGTAATTAGCATTTGAACATTAAAAACTAAAAACATTTTATAAACAACCAAAAGTACTACAAATTTAAATTTATAATATATTATTAACTTATAAACAACATATATACATTTCTTTAAGTACAATATAAGGATTTTTTGTCTATATAAATGTAATATCTGTTTTCTCCTCACTAGGCAGGCCTATATCAATTTTTTCCTTAAAGGAATTTAAACATTTTTCACTAAGCAGTGAATTCGCCTACATTTTACAATAAAACTGGAATATATGGCAAATATTAGTAATATATAAAATAATATACACCCAATGAAAATTTTCTTACTACATAGGTGTTATGCAACATTCAAGATATTGTCAAGTTGGTTGTAGAACAGTGAAGCTAGCCAATCGTTTACAATATTATTAACCTTATTTGACCTTGTTTTTATTAAAATAAAATATTTAATTACTACAGCAAGTAGATATAGTAAAGTAAGTAAAGTAACAGCCTATGCATATCCCACTGCTGGACAAAGGCCTCCTCTTTTTTTTTACAGAGAGTATTGGGTCATAATCCACCATGCAGCCCCACTGCGTATTGGCAAACGTCACATATTTTCCACATATTTTTTTTGGTTATTTCGAAAATATGCAGGTTTCCTCACAATGTTTTCCTTCACTGCTAAGCACGTGATAAAGTCAACATTTAAAAATTAACAATTTCATTGGTTCTGGCACCGGGGATAAAATTCAGGTTGGTTATCTTTATGTAGGTTCTTGCAAATTCCCCAAAATGTTGCAACCACTGGCATATTCAATGTGTTAAAATCTTCGACTCAATAAATATTTGTAGCTACTAGAAGTTAAAATCAAATGGTGCACCTAAAGTGTAATCTTTAAAATATACAATTTTCTTACACTAAATACTCCAGCTTCTACTACATTATGCGTGTAGTATTTATATGGCATCGATTCCGACTTATGAATTATGTTGATGTTACATATATTATATTAGTGATGGTGATTTCTGTAGATTAACTTTTTATAAGGTGCCAAGACGGTAATGGTTCAGAAATAATTGCCACAATAACACTGATCTTAATATTAAAATTGTAACATGAAATATGTTACTATTATGTTAAGTATAAAAAATATTGACCTCAGTGATTTCATACAATCATGTGATTATTTTATTATTTAATATGCATTATACAACATAAATAAGAGGAAATTTATTCTTGCTATTTAGACTCAATATAAGTTAGACTACCTCTTAATTATTATTACCCATATCTAATACGCATGCGCAACGATAACAAAGGAAATCAATATCAGGATGGGTAACATACCAATAGGTGATATAAGGGGTTGCATTTTTAGTCAAACGAACGGCATTAGCCCTGAACGTTCCCAGGAACCACATAACTATAGATAAAAAAAATCTGAAAAATAATAATGCGTTCGATACACTTAGGATACACGGAAAATAAGTCTTATTTGGCATTAAAACATAAAAATATATGACACTGACGGCTGACATGTCACATACTTGCGTTAGGGATGCTAACGAAAAAATCAATAAATCTAACAACTTTAACATAACAGCGTTATATGATGAGTGATCAATTTTAATGATAATAACTCTTTATGCGTAAATAATTTGGGAATATTATGACAGTATTAGGGATCATTTTGTATTATTTCCAATTTTCAATAATGTCAATATTTCCTATCTATGTTTCGCTTAATCCGCTAAGATTATGATACCGCGACATTAATGATACAAGCTTTTGACTCTTCTAATTAATTTGGAATGGAATTATTTTGATATGCACTTTAAGTATCTTATAAAAATTTTATGATAAGTTATACATTATTATACTGTGCGGCACTGTGAATTTTACTTTACTTCGACTACATAAATCCTATCTCAATACGAAATATATCTCTAATGAGTTGTGTGAATATTAATAGCTACAATTACGACATTGGGAACCACGCCCATGTATGGAAGTACGTATAAATAAATATATATGTAATATGCGCACAATACTAGAAAAATAGAACGAAACGGGAAGTAGAAACGAGCAGATGACTTACCGATTGATATAAGCTGTTGCATTCTTGGGGCTGTAGAAATTAGCAGCCTAAGTGTCTCTTCATTATTACATTAATATCCGAACAAATGACTTTATGACAAACAATTGTAATTCGTAAAACAAATTACAATTATCTGGCATAAAATCAAATGTTCAGACAATTGTATTTGAATTTAATAGACACTTATGATGGTTAAAGCTGCTTAGATCCGCCGCCCTCCGCAGTCCGAAAGGAAAAGACCGATCGATATCGGTGTTAACTAATCTCAGACAATAATGTCGCCATGTATTCATTTAAAAATATTAAAAGTTCTCTTATATTGATAAATGTGCTTGAAGACCTTTTTAAAAACACAAATATAAGTCATTTAATAAAATAATCTGAACATAACAATTATTGATGTTACCGACTTTTACTTAAATTACATACATTTAAATTATTGCTGTTATTTTCATTTATGTCGGATATTGAATAAAATATTAAGATTTTAATACACCAACCTTCAAACAGTTCTCTTAGATATTAATAACGATTATTTAGGCCAGACATAGTAGTACCTTACGAACCTATATACATAATTTTTGATGTAAAATTTGAATATTCATAAGAGCGCGCAAGCGTCTATTTAAATAAATATATTTTTGATTTTGATTTAGACAGTATAACAACAATGAAGGTTAAAAAATCATTAGATGATGTTAATATGTATCTGCTAGACTTTTATTTTTTAAATTGCAAAGCCACATCAGGTCAGCACTAAACCATCTAAATCAGAATATTTTTAAACGTTCTATTACATAAGTTGGCAACATTCTAAACAGACAGGAACACAGACGAAAAACATTCAAATGACTTGGCTCAAATTTCTTCGCATAGACACAGTCCTGCGCCGAAACAATCATTTCTCCGTCTACCTAGTGCGCAGACAGGAACACAGACAAAGAAGACAAATTACTAGTTAGTTGTTATTGTGTAGCAGAGATTAATAACAATTTATATGGTATGATAAAACTTATAAATAATTGTAAATTTCGCCGAAAAAAAAAATGTTGGTCGGTAATGGGGCGGCCCCGAAAAAGAAGGCCGCGGTTCGTGTCACGATCATTTACACACTTATTTTTTTTACCTTTTTTCTATACCAAATCATTGCTTTCTTTACTTTTTATTTTTTGAATTTCCAAAGTACACGATTTACCAAAAAAAAAATCGGTCCTCCAGGTATTTATAATAATGTATCCTAATTTATTCGATTGAGATTTATAAGATAGGTACGTTTTAAGTTATGCTCCGTATACGGATATTCTTGACTATGATTTTACTTTGCGATTTGGATAGTTGTTAGGAACAGTGGTGGATTTCTCAATAGGGCTGTAAATTAGTGGGGTTTTTTAGTATCGTAGGTCGCCTTTGCCTCTCGCTTCTTTGCGTAGCCGATATTCCATAAAAATTATAACAAATCAAGCCGGCCTGATAAGTAGGTATCATTCGTCGGCTCCATAATATCATGTACTTACTAACTTTCTTAGTTTAATTTTTTATGCCCTCCAAAGAGTCTTTTCACTTAATCAGCCTAGGACGACCAACGGACAAATCTGTCACTGTTTAGGAATATAGATTTGATTAAGCTAGGATGCTTTGTGGTTTACCTGTGCCGCTTGGCGGGGAGGGAGCCAACAGCGGTTTGCCACCACTGCGACGTATGTGCCGAGGAGACGGCCCATCACGCACTGGAGGAGTGCTCAGCCTGGCGGGAGCAGCGCCGAGAGTTGACAGCTATCGTGGGGCACGATCTCTCGTTGCCTGCCGTGGTCCGCGCTATGGTGGACAGCGAGAGGTCGTGGGGTGCCGTCCTTGCATTCTGCGAGGACATAATCACCCGGAAGGAGGCCGCGGAGAGAGAAAGGGAGGCAACTGCCACCCTGGAAATCCGCCACCGGAGACCAGGGCGCAGGAGGCTGGCCTACGCGCGTAACCTTCCCCCCTGATAGCAAGCCCCGGGGCGGCAGATGTGGGACTAACTGCTGCCCCGCGGAGGGCTTGAGAGGAGTGCCGTGTTCATTGCACCGACACGGCACCATTTGACTGGACCGGGTGTCCCTAACACCCGGGGAGAGGAGGCCACAGCCGCGCCGGGGTTCGCGGAAGATTGCGTTCTCGTGTTCCCGTGTCCCCGGCAAAGCGATAGCGCAGGTGCAACGTGGGTTTTTTAGTGGGTACGTGTAACTCCCACATACCCCTGGTGCCTACCCACAAGGCAGCGGGGGATCCATAAAGGATTTTTCCCACGTAAAAAAAAAAGGATGCTTTGTGGTTTGGAAATTATGTTTCTTTTTTGTCACTGACTGACAAATCTGATATATTTTTTAATTAAGATACTTATTTTGTAGTATTTTTTAAAATTCGGGTATTTACGAAACGATTTGAGAATAGTTGACGGTATGTTAGAATTTTCGTTTACCAGTCAGAATTGGTGTAGTTAATGCTATCAACTAAGGTCGCATAGTTTACTTGAATATACATCTTAAAACATTATTCCAATGACTATTATTAATATCCTCAGTATTTTACAATAAAACTATTTCAAAATTAGATTCTTTTTTTGTTGTGTAAGTGCAACTCCGAAGTATGCTTATTGGTAATTCTGAATGACATTTAAAACTGAATTTTACTGAGCTGTAACAAAAGATACATATTTCTTTTTCGTCCTCATTTACCCTTGCAAAATATATTGTTCCCTACTATCCCCTGAGTAGCTTAAACATACTTATGTGACATTTATATTTCGGAATTACTCGATATTTAGTGCAAGTTCGGTCTACGGTTCCCAAACTTTAGGTACCATGGTAAATGATAAAGTATGTGAAATAAAGTGAAAAACTAAGAAGTATCAAAGTTTTATTTAAAGTAAAATAATGGAATTATTGAGATCCAACATAAATGGTTCCAAGCATAATTGAGTTCTGAGTGGCAAAATAAATCTAACAAAAAAAAAATTGTCACCCAGTTCGAAACATTAACTCAAAAATTCACACAGTGTGCTCTTTCTGCAAACTACAGACAATTAGAGTCACATTTTTGATAACGTAATCTTGTAAATTTATCTAGAATTATGAATAATTAATTTAAAACATATTAAAAACTTTGGGTTATTAGTATAATTAGCAAGATTTTATGCCAAAAAAATTAGAAAAAAATATGTAAAAAAAAAATACCTAATTCACTACCATTCTACCGACGAATCTAATGACACAAATTTTTTGAAATAATAGCCCTTAAGGCCGCAATAAGTTAATAATAAATCATGAAGCCGAAAATAGTCACTCAGACTCACCAATTTGAAAATAAACTAATCCATTTAAACAAACAAGAATTCAAATATTTAGAACCACTGACTTTTCTTAGAGAAAATCACTATCGGGTAAATCCGAATTCTCCATAATTCGGATTTACTCTCTTCGGCTAATCCCGAAAAAAGCAAAATAAGTGGAGATAGAGCTTTCAAAACTTGCATATTAGAAGTGCATAAAAACATAAATTTATCGTATTAAAAACAATTAGTTAAATAACTTTCTAGGTTTCTTTATTACGAATGTACGGGTAATTCTGATAATCCTAAAAAGGCGGCAATTGCTCTCAATCATAGAAATGTTGCGTTGAACATAAGTGGGGAATCGTAGATGGCGGCTAGGTGAACGTTGCCAGAGCAAAATTATTGCCGTCTTTCATAATAAAAATTGTGATTATCAGAATATTCCGATTTACGGAATTAGCCGAATGCACCTCAATTGAATTTACGTAAAAATTAATAGATTTGGTATCGACTTTTTAGAATTTTTTACAAAAATGCCTCGGGGTCTCAACAATCTAATGAAAACCAAACACGACTTAGTGTTGATACGTATTTCGCCATAGAAACTATTCATTATCTCGCACATTGGAGTTAGTTATAGGTTATAGACATTAAAGTAAAGTAAAAAAGTAAACTCAGGGTGAATTTTGACTGAGCACCCGTATAGGCCGTTGGCAGAACACTACAGTACATACACCGAGATGAAAGGCCAATCGGGGGCCAAGGGAACGTCACAGTTGTTTTCTCGGAGATTTTCGAAACCCTTCCTCTCATTACTCAGTGGACTAAAGCGAAGAAATAAATGCCTCACAGAAGCGTTTTTATTTCTGGTCTCAAAAACATTCGTTGTGGTTGATAGTTAACGTGCGGACTGCGTTTACATGCCTAAGAATTTTCCGATGTTCTGTTAAAATTTGAGAAGGCA